GAAAGACTCTCTATCTCTCTCCTCCTCTCTCTCTCTCTCTCTCTCTCTCTCTCTCTCAGATGTAGACCAAAACGCAATTTAAGGTGAACTTGTGAAGAACTACATAAACAATTTTCCCTTTTTGTGCGCCAAATTTGAGTATCTATGTCCAATAGTCAATCAATTTTTTTTTGTTCCTTGTTTTAGAATTTGTTTAAATTGAAAAGTTCAATATTCATGAGCATTTTCCTAATGGATAGACCAAGGTTATTATTATTTTTTGTTCCTTGTTTTAGAATTTGTTTAAATTGAAAAGTTCAATATTCATGAGCATTTTCCTAATGGATAGACCAAGGTTATGATACTTGAGTTCTAATGGATAGACCAAGGTTTTGATACTTGGCTCGGCCCTGCCCGAGCCGAGTAACTCGTGGGAGTCCAAGTGGACTTGGACGACTGGTGTACAAGCCCAAAAAAGGGGCTTCAAATTTGAAAAGAAATACAAGAAAGTTGGCAAAAGTAAAAATAAAAAAACTAAAAAGCAAAGGAAACTATAAATAACATTGAATATCCATATAAAATAGAAAAAAATATTTCAAGATGGATTTAGAAAAATTAATTTAATGTTGGAAACATTTCAGGAAAATCTTAAAAAAAAAAAAACATAAAAATAGGGAATACAACAAGAAAAACTCACAAATCATTTTCAAAACCATCAACTATATATATATAAAACATTTATATTTATTTCATTAAAATATAATTTTTTCTTTTAATTTATGTTTTGTGTCACCCGAGTTTATACACAAGTACTCCACTCGGCAAAGGGGCCGGGGCCGATTCCCAGTGGACTCCGTTGAGTTTTCTAATACTCGGATAGAAATCGCTACGAAAATTTCTAAAATGGGCTAAATTTTTGGTTGTGCCCGGAGAACCAATGAAATGATCTCCCCACCCCTTCTTGTCATAAATCTTCTTTTCTCTATATTTTCATGAATATTAATCATATTGAATTAATTTTATTATTGAATTATAGAATCCAGACCACTCATCATCATTATCATCTCAGCCGTATCTTAATTATTTGGGATCGACAATCCAGGCCACTAATAATTCAAAACAAAGAACGGGATTACCTCAATAGTTGTACTTCAAATTAAACAAAAAAAAAAAAACAGAAAGTTGCACAAAATGCATATAAATAAGTGAATAGATCAGAGGAGTTGAGATTACCATTGAGACTAAATGTGTATTTTTCGGTGTTTACGGTTTTGAAGTCTTCAGGTCTTGCCTTGTTGAACATTTCCATTTCCCATGTTTTCACAAGGTTTTGCACCATCTCTTCTAAGGACCCTTCAGGCCATACCTGCAAGCAATAACAAATTTTTTTAAAAAAAACAATGAAAATTAAATATGATGGAAAAATATTTAGTTGATATTGCCCAAAAATTAGGGGTGACAATCGATTGGACCTAACATAGGACCCGAGGGAAAATCCAATTAATTCAGGTTTAAGTATGGGTCCAAAAATTATACCCGGCCGGCCAGGTTCGGGTCCAAATATTGGAGCCAAACACTATTGGGACCGGTGAAAGTGAGACAGAAAGCTTTTATGATATAATTGGTTTGAGTTAATTCCTTCTGAGGGGTTGCTATTACCTTATGATTTCCTTCGACAACTTCATTACATAAAATGAAAAGAGCAAGAAAAATGAAAAGAAACAGCAAAACAATGAAAAGGAAAAAGGGGAAAAAAAGAAAAAAGAAAAATATTGTGACCTTTTGGCGACCTTCTTCAAAGAGCTTGTTGACAACATCATAGTTTGGTGGTGCACCATACTTCCACACTGTGTTCTTCTCTCCTTCATCATGAATGTGTTTTCGATATTTGTCCCCTCTAGCTGCTCCTAAAATTACAGTCGAAGACATTGTTTAGAGAGAGAAAGGTTTAGTTTAGAGAGAGAGGTTTTAAGAGAGAAAGGAAATAGAGAGGGCATATATAATAGTGCAGGGTCTCTAGGTTTCCATATACAGATTCATCTTTAGGTATACAGATTCACTTTAGGTATCCATCTCTATCTCTAGGTGTCCATATACAGATTCACTTTACCTACCTTATATTCTCTCAATTTTTATTTGTATTTTTATTTCCTAAAAGAAAAGTAAGAGAAGAAAAAACGACAGGGTCTCCACCAAAGATGCCTATCTATACAAGTTTCTTTTTTTTTTAGGAAATAAAAATAAAAATAAAAATTGAAAGCTCAAGGTGAATCTGTACATGTGCTGGACAAGTCGGTGGGTTGATTATGTTGTTGACTAAAGAAGGGGATCAAGGCCACAAAGGGCACATCATTTTTTGTAAGTTCCATCAAAATTCAATGAAAGGGTGAAGTTTGTATAAGTTGCTACTGTAGAAGTAAGGCGCATTTTTAAATTTTGCTTGCAGATGTGGTTCTAATGTCGGAAATCCTATAATGAATTGAAAATCTTTTTTCATCCCTTGTCATGAAATTTTAAATATAAAAGTTAGTACAGATCAAGAAGATCTATAAACATTTAGAAATTTTGAAAATAGGTGGTCTAAGTAACTTGTTACAAGATGTACTATTTTAGGACTTAAAAATTCTTTTTTTCAAGTTTATACACCTAAGCAATGGTTTAAAAAGCGGATCGGTGACTCAAATTATTACAGCTTAACTAACTAGAATCCAAAATTATTAAAACCTAACTAATTATAATATTATATACTGAAATTATAATTATTAGTTTATATTTTATAATTATTTTATTAGACAAATAATAACAAATTAAAAATATTTTATAATATTATCTAATTTAAAATGTATTATTGACAACCGTAAGAAAAATAGTAAATTGCATGATTTATAATGTAAAAATTAATAAATAAAATAAAAGATTTGGTTATCAATGTAAAAATGAATAAAATGCGTATAAATTTTGGAAATAACACTTCAAGTTTTCAAAAATTTATTTTTTTAGGTTTCTATAATAAATTTAGTGAAAGAGATTGTTAGTAGAAAGATGGAGATTTCAAATAGAATAAACTTTTTATGTTTTATTTTTTTATGCCTTTCATATTATTTAAAAAAATAATTATACCATTATATACAACAAAAATTAATTGCTATACAAAAAATTAACTTTTTTATTTTTCATTTTTTTATGCTTTTTATATTATTTACAAACATATTTATACAATATGTACAACAAAAACTATACAACACAAAAAAATAACGCCCACAGGGGGACTCGACCTTGAGACATCACATGAAGAAGCAAAAGTCTTAACCACCACGCCACCTCACCATATGTGGTTATAACTTGATGATTAATAGAATATATTTAAATTCCCTTTTCATTTAATGATGTTTGGGAATTATCCCACATCGAAAGATGGGTATTCCACTTTGGTATATAAATACCTATGTAATATAAATTAAAATGTTTGTGTAGAAATATTGGGGTAACCTCACACGTGTCGCACGCCTGCACGTGCGTGTCGCACGCGTGCAAGGAGGGAACTGGGTAGAACCGGATAGAACCGGATTGAACCGGCGGTTCTTCTCTAGAATCGGGCAGTTCACGGTTTTGTATTGGAACCGGCACGGGCTGTGCCGGTTCCCGAGTCGAATAGGGCGAGTCCGGTTCGACTCGCCGATTTTTAAGACACTGCATCTAAGGAGTGAGTCCGGTTCGACTCGCCGATTTTTAAGACACTGCATCTAAGGAGTGAGTCCGGTTCGACTCGCCGATTTTTAAGACACTGCATCTAAGGAGTGAGTCCGGTTCGACTCGCCGATTTTTAAGACACTGCATCTAAGGGTTGAGATCAGTGATTAAAAAAATGCCGAGTCGCCCGGTTCGACTCGGGAATTGGCACTGGATGTGCCGAATTGGTCAAAAAACACGGAATCGCTCGATTTTAGAAAGAACCGGGCGATTCTGTACAGTGACTCACCGATTCACTGTACGGAATCGGCGAGTCCAGTGAAGAACACGGGCTGCACAATGTTCTTCATGGGATTCTTCAAAATTTGTCATTTTTTTATCATTTTTTTTGTTTTTTTTGCTCAGTGATCGAATATGCAGGCTTCATACAGCTTTTTTCAGCCTTTTCATGGATTAAATGGTGAAGAAATTTCGTTTTTTTTTATCATGAAAGTTGGGTTTTTAGGGTTTCCGCCTTTCCTTGTGTTTCATGCCAAATATGGCATGAATCTATGAACATTTGTAGGCATTTTGATCGTAAAGTTGTTCATCAAAACATTCTGTTACGAATTTGTGATAATCGTTGAGAAAAACAGAGTAATTTGGAGATTGAAGGCTCGGGTTCACGAAACCAGGTAAGAACTTTGGGCTTTTTTTTTTTTTTCCTCCATATGATTAATTTCACTGTATATTTTGAAAATAATGAGTTACATTTGTAGGGCTTTTCATTGTTATTGTGTCTTTTATCATTTAACATATTCAAATTGGTTTATTGTGTCTTTTATCATTCACTGTTGTTTTTTTTTTTTTTTTTCCGCCTTTTGATTTTTCGTTCATGATATATTACAATTAATGTGTTAGATTTCTAGGGTTTTTAATCGTTATAGTCTTGTTTATAATCAGATGTACTCAATTTGATCTGATTTATTCAATTTGAGCTTCATTTTTTATATTCAATGACTGTTGTCTGTGAAGAACTGCGTTTTTTTGTTTTTTTGCTCATTTTTAATCGATTTGATTTGATTTATAGATGATAATGTGTTCAAAATTTAGGGTTTTGATTCCTTATATTGTTGTTTATCAGAAAATGTACTCAATTGGATGTAATTTATTCATTTGGAGGTAGATTTTTTAGTTAAAATGGCTGATGTAAGATGACTCTGTGAAGAACAAATTATTATTATTATTATTATTATTATTTTGTAATCTATTATAGAATTTTTTTTTTTTGTAATCCATGATCGAATTGTTTTTTTGTTTTTTTTTGTAATCCATGATCGAATTTTTTGTAATCCATGATCAAATTTTTTGTTATCCATGATCGAATTTTTTGTAATCCATGATCGAATTTTTTGTAATCCATGATCGAATTTTTTGTAATCCATAATCCATGATCGAATTTTTTGAAAATTTGTGATTTTTTTTTTAATCCATGATCGAATTTTATGAAAATTTGTTGTACTTTTTTTTTTTTTTTTTTATCCATGATCAAATTTTTTGAAAAATAATGATTTTCCGAAAAGATGTGAAAATCGTGACAAGGTTTAGGTATTAAACCATATTTTAAATTTTTATCATTAAAGTTTTTGTTGAAAAAATTGTATGTTGATAGATTATTTATGCAAAAAAATGCATGTTATTATATTTTTAATGCAAAACTGTATTTTTTTTAATCTGTTGTTAATGCATTTTTGAGTTGAAAAAATTTATGTTAGGTGGCTCTGTGAAGAATTGTTTTTTTTTGTTTTGTACATGATGGATTTTATTTTAAAAATCGTGATTTTTCGAAAAGATTTGAAATTAGTGACCAGGTTTTGATTATCATGAGGTATTAAACCATATTTTTAATTTTTATTGTTAAAGTTTTTGTTGAAAAAATTGCATGTTGATAGAATATTTATACAAAAAACATACATGTTATTATATTTCTAATGCAAAACTGTATTATATTTTTTATGTAGTTTTGCATTAAAAATGTATTTTCAATTTTTAAAATTTTGAACGCAAAAAATACATGTTGTTAAATTGTATTATCGTGAGGAATTAAAGTGAATGTCATTGTAAAAAAATCGTGGCATATATGACAATTATATTATCCTACATTTTTTCAATTTTATTATTAATTTTTTAATACAAAAAATGTATGTTCTTGATAATTGAGTTGTAGCCATGTTTGGAGCTTGCATTTTGTATTATATTATCCTGTATGTTTGTAATTGATATATACGAAATTATTATTGTCAATAAAGGTATTTTGCAATAACAAATAACAACAAATATGACTACATGAACTACCCCAACTTATTATCATTACACATGGTGATTATTTTTCTTATTGAACTGTCAGGTTAATTTTTAACTTTTTACATATTAAAACAGTTGAATCATGTCAAGATATGCAGAAGACTTTGCATGACAACGTGGGGTCAGACTTGATCCCAACAAAAAAGACAAAATTATTTGTAATTACTGCCAAAGAGTAATAAGTAGTGGGGTACATAGGTTCAAGCAACACTTGGCAGGGGTTAAGGGAGATGTTTCTGCATGCAGTAATGTCCCTAGTAATGTAAAAAAACAGATGGCGGCAATTCTTAATTCAAACAAATGTAAAAAAATTACCAAACATAGGATGAATGAGGAGATAGTTAGTTTATATACGCCATCAAGTAGAAATGATACAGATGCGCAACATAATAATGACCTAGACATGGCCACAAGATTGAGTTTACATGAACAATATCAGAGGGAACGTGGGTTTAGAATGCCCGGTGGGTCTAGCTCAGACATGCATGGTGGGTCTAGCTCAGACATGTATGGCGGGTCTAGCTTAGATATGTATGGCGGGCCCAGCTTAAACATGCATGGCGGGCCCCAGTC